TGTGAAAGTGGGACCAGAGTGCTTCTGGGACAATATGGAGGCTGTATTTACTACACTGCAGAAAACTATGAACAATCTGCAAACCTCCAGAGGACACCATGCATTGTAAAAGGATGTCTGAATACAGGAATCCCTAAACAAGAAAGAGAAAAGAATCACAAGTTGCTTTTCACTTTCCTCAAACTTCCACAAAAAGCCTCCAGTGTCAGGCTTTTCCTTATACGAACGAGAAAGTCAGAGCCATCTTTACAGCATCTTCTCCAGAGCCATTCTGTTTGCCCTGGAGGGTTTCCCATGCTTATTTTATTTGCTTACACCCAAGTCTGACTCTTACCTGAATGGCTTAGCACCATTTTCTGGTCTCCATTACAGGACTCAGTGCCAGGAACTGTAAATCTGACCAATTTTACTTAAACGGAGAGGCTCCTTGTCTTTACTGAACATGGAACTACCTGCAAACAGTGGAGTCGCACGGTCGCAGGATCAGGCCCTTTTCTTTACTCTGGTAAACAGTTTATTGGCGTTTACCTGATGTCTAAAGGACCTGGTATTTACCTGCCAAAGGCATATGACACCACAGATGTTTTATACATAAATCACTTCTGGTTATATTGACTGTCGCTTTCTGTGTTTGAAGGAAAAGGCAGAAAATAATGATTAGAGCTCATTCTGTTATTGTGGATTTGTTAAACCAGGTTGAAATTTCCTGAAGAAACCCTCTGACTTACGTTTCTCGGAGAAGCCCACGCTCTCCTAATCCTTGCTGAGAATTGAAGTGATAGAAGAAGCAGCAGCCACCTCGCCTGCCTGAACAGTAGTTGTTGTCCCATAGTTTGGGAGATGCTTCAATAAGCCGATCAATTCCAGGCTGGAATACTTAAATGCCACTGCCTCGCACTACACAACACCTAACAATTTAAATCTCTCTGCAGTCAGTGGAACTGTTTGTGTGGGAGACCATTACTCATCGATGGCATCTGAACTGTGGGAGATGGGAGCATTTCCCAGATCCTGGCTCAAAGTAAACACCTTGGCCTTGTCCTGCTCCAGGCTGGGGCGGTATCTGGATGTGCACCAACCTCCTCTGGTTTCCCCTGGAAGGAGCCTGGGCCTTCAGGAGTGGGGTGAGCTGTGTCACTGTCCCCAGTATGGGTGAGCTGGGACCCTGCGGGGCACATCTACTTCACAGCTTAGTCACGGCCAAAGGGAGTAATAAATAGGAATTGCTTGTCTCTGGGTTTTTCCTGTACGATTTAATGAAAAAAGAGTTGAAAAGTGAATTACAACAATTCAGCACTGGAGAGTAAGTGTGTGCAGTTCTACTGCCAAATTTCTTCACTTGTGCCCATTAAGAATGAAAGAACAACTTAAATACAATGGAAAAGGTTTTTATTTCTGATATTTGAGCTATGCCAGCTTACTCCAAGGATGAATTTAGGCAACAATGTATTTTCTAAAGCTTAGCCCTCTTCTGTTATCTCAAATTGCGTTCTGCTTTTTTCTAAATGGAGTATGTCCTCTGTGGAATAACTAAACATATTTGCACAAAACTGAGAAAGAAATGATTTTCTGAAATAATCTTGTCTGTCAAAAATTCTTGCTGAACCTGTAAATTAAACTTTCAAGAAAACTGAATGAAACTGCTTTGCTATTCAGTTTATGCAGACAAGATGAATGTAGCACTTGCACAGCTATTTGTTTTTTAAATCTGGAGGTAATGTTCTTTGTAATAAGGATATATTTCCCCTAACACCCTTGCTCCTCAGATTGGAATTGACACTTAAATGTTCAGAGGAACCTAAATTATTTTA